ATATCATATCATATCATATCATATCATATCAGTGGTATCAAACAAGACTCATCCATTCAGATTTAGGCCAGACTTTTAGTTCTACAAATCGAAATATCAAATGTGACTGTACGTCTGTTATATACTGATGTGTCTGATAAAAGTGCTTCCCCTCTGTCGTGTCAGATGTTGGATGTGATTGTCATTTGTATGTAGATTGTCTCCTCTGTGTTTGCGCTTCTCTCTGCAGGATACCGCTGCTACGCTCATTACTTGAAGATTGAGGTGAGCCAGTCTCACCCCGTGATTAAGGCCTTCTGCGGGCTGCTGCTGCAAACCTCAGGCCAGGACAGTGTGTCCGCACAGAGGATGAGAGATGCTGAAGAAGGTCTGAGCTTTTATTTCTTTATTACTTCAGTTCATGACAACAGTATGATTATATTTAATTCACTGGAGAGCAACCTGTTCCAGAGTCTGGACTCAAACTCAAAGCTTTTAGTCTTCAGAACTAATTCAGAGCTGCTTGACTGAGGATGCGGTTTAGTGTTTTAAAGCTGCGCTCATTCAGTTTGTCCAGTGAGATTTATCAGAGAGTGTGTGGAAACCGTACATTTCAGGCCAGTTTCCTTCTGTGAAAATAAAGATGCACCGAGCTCATTTCAAATAGATAGGAGGATGTTTTCGAAGGTTTGTTGTTATTAAAAAATATTAACTGACATTTCAGGCACAATAATTATTAAAATAATTCATAAAAACAATTATAAAAATTGTAGTTAAAAAAATAATTGAATAATATAATAATTGAATAATAATTGCTTTATATCAAAAATCAATATTATTATTATATATTTTATATAATTGATATAATTGCTTAATATTAGGGATGTAACGATATCAAAATCTCACAATACAATATTATTGCGATATGAAGTCCACGATATGATATTTATTGTGATATTTAAAAAGAAAAAAAGACAAATGAAGAATTGGGAAAAAATGAAAATTGTGTACATTTTAAAGTTAAATTATTCTATCTAATGCACTTTGAGAGTTCAAAATTAAGAGCTCCAACCCTCGTTCTTAACTAAGAAAACTTAGGTCAGAAAAAAGGTATATTTCATAGGTATATTATTTTTGCTTTACACTACAGTAGGGAAATTACAATACTTCTTTCCTAATTTCTACACTTGAAAGAGATCATTTGAATTTGGACTGCATTTAAACCGCTAGCTGTCAGCAATTCATACGTCACTTTTTAACTTTTATTTTGATTTATTTTCCAGCTTCAGTGAAAACATGCTTACAAAAACACAAACACGTCTCACTACAAATCTAGTGAAACGCTGTAATCATCTGCCGGGAAAATAAAGCATAACTGCTGTTCCCAAACGCGTGCTAAACTCACAGCTCATGAAATAAAGGAGTGGACTGCATTCATTCAGTGTGAACGAGTCGTTCTGAGATGCAGAAAACACTGGATCACGAGCTGATCGTCTGAACCAAGTGAGCTCTTCGCTTTGAAACGCAGCGCAAACAGACTTGATGAAGGGATTAAGCATACTGTGCTTTCGGTTTGAGTTCGTTTGACAGATACTGTGCCAAAGCATAATGACCCAAAACAAATATATTTTAAAAACTACACTTTTTGCCCAGAAGACCTATCTTTTCATATCATCATGTGATCACGATAATATCGAGACTGTTGATTATATCGTTCCATCCCTACTTTACATTCAACAGATTCGCAGTTTCTAATCATTTTTAGTTTAGGTATTTTTAAAATATATTTTCCATTTTCACTTTAATTTCACCTAGTGTAAGTTTTAGTCGTTTTGGACACTCTTACCCTCTCAACACTTAAAGAGTAAACTGACCAGCCTGTTTGTGAGCGTCTGCATGTGATGTAAGCATTAGGAAACATTCAGCATGTGAAGCGTCTCACCGTGATTTGTTGAGGACGGGTTCTGCGTCGTGGAACCACTCGATCAGCGGCGGCGGCTTGGCTCTGAACTGACAGTGAAACACGGCCTCCTCATTACGCAGAACCACCTGATCCACCGGAGCCACCAGCACACGGGGAACAGACTTATCTGAACACACACAGAGAGACAGAAGAGTCACGCTTCAGCTTATGAATATAGAGTAAAGACACTCACTCACACTCATCTACTTGCCAGCTGCTAACAGCACTGACAGCTCCTGTCAGGTGTCACGTGACCTTTGACCTTTAGCACACCTGGATCAGACCACATTCCACAGAGAGAAACTCATCTGACGTCCCTCCGTTTGATCCTTGTGCTCCTGCGGGACGTGATTCTATAAATCACCCTTTACTGATTTATAGTCACATTTACAATCGTGATCATGTTCAATAAACATATTCATACAGTTACTAATGAAACAAAACTCACATAGTCATTTTAGGTTGAATGAAATTAATATTAATCTGTTGAATATTATATGTTGATTACATCAACATTGTGTTGATCATTTTTTTTTATATATTCATTTTAAGTTTAATCAAAATCATTTTTTAATCAATTACTGATTCAGCAATACATAAATGTTGTTAATGATTTAATCAAGTGTTGTCCGTCCGACAGAGATATTCCTGTTGGTTTATGATGTTTTGTGATGATGCGACTCATGATAAGTGTTTTTATCGTCTTGTTCACAGGAAATGCAGCTCTACACGAACTCCATTTCTGCAACTGCTGCAAGTTTGAGTCGCTTATAATGTAATGTAAATGTAGATCTAGATCAGATAGAAATGCTTTAAATCAGACAGACATGCTGTAGGCCATACAGACACGTTCTAGAACAGACAGACAGGCAGACAGACATGCTCTGGAATCAGACAGACACGCTGTAGATCAGGCAGACACACTCTAGGATCAGACAGACATGCTCTAGGATCAGATAGAAATGCTTTAGATCAGACAGACAGGCTCTAGATCAGACAGACATGCTGTAGGTCAGACAGACAGGCTCTAGATCAGATAGACAGGCAGACAGACATGCTCTGGAATCAAACAGACATGCTGTAGATCAGACAGACATGCTCTAGATCAGACAGACACACTCTAGGATCAGACAGACATGCTCTAGGATCAGATAGAAATGCTTTAGATCAGACAGACATGCTGTAGGTCAGACAGACAGGCTCTAGATCAGATAGACAGGCAGACAGACATGCTCTGGAATCAGACAGACATGCTGTAGATCAGAAAGACACACTCTAGGATCAGACAGACATGCTCTAGGATCAGATAGAAATGCTTTAGATCAGACAGACAGGCTCTAGATCAGACAGACATGCTGTAGGTCAGACAGACAGGCTCTAGATCAGATAGACAGGCAGACAGACATGCCCTGGAATCAGACAGACACGCTGTAGATCAGACAGACACACTTTAGGATCAGACAGACATGCTGTAGATCAGACAGACACGCTTTAGGATCAGACAGAAATGCTGTAGATTAGACAGACATGCTCTAGATCAGACAGACACGCTGTAGGTCAGACAGACATGCTCTAGATCAGAAAGACACGCTGTAGATCAGACAGACATGCTGTAGATCAGACAGACACGCTTTAGGATCAGACAGAAATGCTGTAGATCAGACAGACATGCTCTAGATCAGACAGACACGCTGTAG